CTCTGGCCAGCCGAAATACTAGCTTTTCTCTGCTTCTATGTTTTAATTACGACCATACATAACAATGAACAATTGATATGATTTTGGTGAAGAAGTGGTTATTATAGTATGGATATATCCAATAAAGAATGTAGTTGTAAAACATTTCCTCTTATGCAAAAGATTGACGAAAAATACCAGGACATTCAAACTCTTGTCGAAAATAAACAATCAACGCTATGACGTAAAAGTAAAAAGACTATTAGACAAATAATAGTACACAAAGCACAACATAGAAAACCGAAAACCGATCAATACGAACCCCACCCAAAACTAGGGGTGATCTCAGGTGCTCTGGAAAGGTAAGCAGATCCTGCTCCACATGTGGCACCCGTCGTGTTGCTCATGTGATTACAAACCCGGTGATAAGTTTTATTCGGTAAGTCACATTCGGGCAAAGGTAATGGGATTGTAGTTACGACATTTAAGAACATATCAGTTATCATCTGTGAATTTTATATTCAATAACGGTCATCCAGCTCGTGATGGCGTCAATTTCACCACTTGGAACACTTGGTTTAAACCTTATTAATAGCAAACCTGAAGGATATCATGATAGGAATATTGTATCAACTAGGAGATATATACTCTGTATGCAGGCGCTGCTGGAATGTTTGCTACATAGAAATGGAAAATTTGAAAGCTGAAATCATCTCTTCTGTCGTTAAGTTTTTTTTCAACTGACCTGTTTTCAATAGTAATAATGAAAGAAAAATATAAGTAGAAACAGAATTATCTATGAAATAAACTCCTCAAGTACCAACTATGATTTATTTTCCTGTTCTATAGAAAAAAGTAAAATCACAAAAATACTGAACTCCGAGGAAAATTCAAAACAGAAAGTCCGTAATCAAATAGCAAATATGCCGATTCCCCGTAAACATTAACAGATTGTCAAATGAGATCAAAAGGAAACATCAACATCGACTGAGAGTATAATTCAATAGGCAAAAAATTGTGAAAAGAAGTTTCCATCAACTATATCATTGTATATCAAATTATGATGCAAATAAATTAACGTTATCGTATACAGCATACCATGATTATTTTATGCCAAAGGGAGCCAAAATACCTTTCCCCTTTTGAGCTCACCGGGGCCCGAAGGGCCCCATGTGACCTTATGCCATCACTTGGCGTCCGTCGTCGTCCGGAGTCTGTCGTCGTAAACTATTTCAAAAATCTTCTCCTCTGAAACTACTGGGCCAAATACCTTCAAACTTAATTTAAATGTTCCTTAGGGTATCTAGTGTATGAATTGTATCCGAAGTTTTGATCCATCGACAAACATGGCCGCCATGGCTAAAGATAGAACATAGGGGTCAAATGCAGTTTTTGGCTTATATCTCAAAACCTAAATTTTTTAGAGCAAATCTGACATAGAATAAAATTGTTTAATTGGTCAAAATCTATCAGCCCTGAAATTTTCAGACGAATCGAACAACCCATTGTTGTGTTGCTGCCACTAATTTGGTAGTTTTAAGGAAATTTTGCAGTTTTTTGTTATTATCTTGAATATTATTATAGATAGATATAAACTGTAAACAGCAATAATGTTCAACAAAGTACGATCTACAAAAGGTTAATATCACCAAAATTGTGAATTGCCCCTTAAGGTGTTATTGCCCTTTGAAGACAATTTTACACAATTTGTTCATCAAGTTTGCTTACATTTAAAAATCTTCTCCTCTGAAACTATTGTGCCTAATACTTCTTAACTATAAAGAATGTTCCTTTCGGAATCTAGTTTATGAATAGTATCCGAATTTTTTATCCATCAACAAACATGGCCGCCATAGCTAAAAATGAAACATAGGGGTCAAATTCAGTTTTTGGCTGATATCTCAGAAACTAAAGCATTTAGAGCAAATCTGACATGGAAAAAAAGGTTCAAAAGGTCAAGATATATCAGCCCTGAAATTTTCACACAAACCGAACAACCCATTGTTGGGTTGCTGCCACTAAATTGGTTATTTTAAGGAAATTTTGCAGTTTTTGGTTATTATCTTTAATATTATTGAAGATAAAGATAAACTGTAAACAGCAAAAATGTTCAGCAAAGTAAGATCTACAAAATAGTTTAATGACCAAAATTGTCAATTGACCCCTTAAGGAGTTATTGCCATTTAAGGACAATTTTACACAAGTTGTTTATGTTTTTTAACTTTAAAAATCTTCTCAAATGAATCTAGTATAAATTTTGTGTTTCCTTGTACGTCAAGAAATATAGACACTATGGCTACAATGGAACATATGGGTAAAATGCATTTATTTGCTTTTGAAGAAAATATGACAGATACAACGAACATTTTAATGGCATTTTTAAGCCACTCATTAATATATATTGAAAAGCAAAAAAAAATCATTGATGAACGATTTAAGCAAAAAAATAACAGATGAGCGATTCAGGCTCTTGAGAGCCTCTTGTTTATGTTCTACCTATGAAAATTGTGTAAGGTTTTGGGTCGTGCCACAGATATGTTTGGTTTCAAGAAGTCGTCATTTGATCCACAAAAGGTGACTGGGAAATAGAAGAATGGTCATTTTTGGTTTTCCTTTGGCCGGCAGGAAAACTTTCGCAAATGTGGGGCATCCGTTTGACTGCGCGGGATGTTTAATTTTGAAGCCACAACCGGTAAGGTTTGGCACGTTTGCCACGATCTTTGCTGGTCCGTAGTTGACCTGTGGCAAGGCTAAATGTCTGTCCCTATCCAATATACCCTCATTTACCGTGGCAGTCTAAAATTTTACGACCTTAATCCTGACGCTTCTATTACAGAGCCTACCGATTGTATTTTTTGTAATTAGTTCTCGTCCTGAATATGCATGAAATATTTTCCACTGGACGTTAAGCAACCAATCACTTGTCATTTGATTTTGCATGATTTTTTATGCAATTTTTTTTTAAAATACATAGTAAATTAGAGAAAAGACTAGCCACAGGTTAACTGCCTCAAAAGTAAGATTTCTGTGTGATAGTAAAAACATGTTTTTTTTATTTAGGAAAAAAAAAGAAAAAACAAAAGAAGTAATACCCCAACCCTGGTATATTATTCTCAATCCAGGCATATCAGTGTATTTCATAAATGTCCGTTGAACTTAGAAATAATGCGTCCAAGTATATTTGATGTTGTCGTTTGCATGTGAATTGTTTCTATGCATTTCTCCTTCATTGATACAGGTAAATATAATGGTGTAAATCAGCAATTTCTGTTTGATTTCACGCTTTATTCCTCGCATACGCTATTATTCTTGAGTCTGTTTGATTGATATTTGTGTTTAAAGTAATCACATTCTCTCTAGTACTTGAGGATAGCTTTTAATATTAATCACGATCTCCAATTCTGAAAACGTTCTTTTTGCAATCCGACACCTCATTTCGGACACATTCGACGCAACATTTCTGTTGATATCAAACATTGTAGCACGCGTTAAAATAGATATGTTTAACAATTATTCAGGCTAGCCGGAACAATAGATACTCCATTAAATGAAAGGTAATGTTTTAAAATTAATAAAGCAAAATAACGGATTTACGAATTAAAAGTCAACAGCTACGATTACGTGATAAATAAAGAAATGCGATATGAGCGCATGATACGCCAGTCGCTTTTTCAAAAAATTCAGTTCCAGTATTTCTCAATGTCATAATTTTAATAGGTATACAAATGTATATCAGTCACCAAAGATTCATGAAAACTGTTTAAAGCACTTAAAGTTATTGTAAAAAAAAAAACCGGGAAAATCCCCCTTTTCTACGCTTAAAACCCCAAAACAAGGAAATTAACAAAAATCTTTTATAACACGTTCACATTATTACACTCTCTTGAGTTTAGTAACGTCAATATATTCAATTAAAACATGTTAAACGGTAAACATGTATTTGCAATCGCATGGTATACATAAATGCTGAAATTCTTTCTTTAGAGGTTATTCAGATTTGATATTTTTAGACATATGAAAGTATTTGATAGTCTCTTCGTTTGTTTGAAGGTAATTCTTTTTTTGTACCTACTCCTCGAAATGATGCTTTTTTAATGTGTTGTATTTGCAATATAACATTTTGATTTATTATTTATTTTTGTCTAGTCCGAGAGGGATGATCTATATAATGCAATTTTTAACTGCTGGAAGATCTACTATAATGCACGGGTTCAAGTTCCTCTCATTCTTTTATTTTTCTATGACATGCATTTTAGTAGTAATTGATAGTGCACTAACAAAAAATGATTCTTGTCGTTATACATCTCTTTAGTTAACAGTGGTTAACCCTCTGCTAGTAAAGAAAAATATCACTATTGAAACAATAATATCGATTTCATTCCGACATTTAAATCAGTATTTATCTTTCAATTTCTAAATAGTGTTCATAGCTTTTAACCGAAAGGGTATCATTGTCAATTAATACAGATTTAACTGAAGTTAAAATAGTCGCCAAGTGATCATACAATACAGTCGATAGGCTGGCTAATTACAACATTCTACAAAGGGGCTTGTATATACTTTTATTTCATAAATGTCTGGTACAGACTGACATGTCTTCGATTGGCTTTCAAAGCAAAACATATTCACGGTTTTTAAATGAAACAGTTGTTAAAATGAATGAAAACAAAATATGGGGATTTAACAAGTAAAATTATTTCACTTTTACTTCAAGAGTTTATGATATGATTATCAACGACGAACAAATGAAACGATACTTTCTTATTTTTGCTATTGTTGTATCTGTTCAAAATATAGAAACTCTGAACTTCTGCGAGGAAACTTTTTCATTTTTTACTGATTACAAAATTACAAATAATGATTCCGTACTGATAAATGGAGTGAGATCTGCACAAGCATGTGGCTCAGTTTGTTTGACCACATGTGACTGTTGTGCTGTATCATATATCAGTAATACCAGGGAATGCTATTTGGATACATCTGGTACCTGTAGTTCACCTAAGGTTCCGTTTTTAGGATCAATGGTTATGACAAGACAACCTGGTAGGTATATTTGTAAATATATTGCCAGAATGTTTTAACACGTGGTTGAATTGAATTACATAAGCGGTTCCAATTTTACTGCATATCATGCAGGTCAGTAAATATGGCATTTTTTAATATTAATATTGATTCACTTACATAGTCTTTGCGTCAGATATAAACACTTGTATTCTAAAACCAGCTATTGGTATGATGCGGGTTATGTTCTTCCCGTATATTTTTTGTTGGTATTACACTAAACCTCTAACGGGAGGGATTGTGCTTGATTTTCATATGATGAGGACATAATCTTTAGATTAATTAAAATACGGGAGGGATTGTGCTTGATTTCATATGACGAGGACATAATATTTTAATTAATTAAAATGAGGTCTTGAACTGGCATGAAAGCAACTGATTTGTTAATGTATGTATCATTGTCATTTTGCTTATTGGAATTATTTTGTTTACTTGTCTTTCATTTTCTTTGTATTCTTGTTATTCCTTTTTGTTTATGTGCTTTGTCTAATGCATTTTTGTGCTTCTTTGTTACATATTTGTTTGTTTTTACAGTAATTAAGATTATATTGATGTTGAGTGCTGTACCCCTATTTTTGACATTTGTACCTATTATGCCTGCTTGTTTAGTTTACACCATGATTTCAGTATAATGGAAATTTAAGCGTCTGCCAAACAAGTGAGAGGTTTAGCTAGATATAAAACCAGATTTAATGCAATATTTTCTACATAAGAAAATGCCTGTACCAAGTCAGGAATATGACAGTTGTTACCCATTCGTTTGATGTGTTTGAGTTTTTGATTTTGCTATTTGATTAGGGACTTCCCGTTTTGAATTTTCCTTTGAGTTCAGTATTTTTGTGATTTTACTTTTGTCTATATGATCCTTTGCTACATATGACGTGGCTCTGTACTTATACATCCCGCCAACGTGTTATTGTGCTATGGTAGATTTTTTGTATTCTGGTCTTCCGTTTTTACTAAAGCTAGGTACACACTGCCAATCAGATCAACTCGATGATCACGATTGCTTAAAATCCCACGACCAAGCGTATCTAAATTCTTGATCGGGACTTTTAACGACTTCTACCCGACCGCTATCCCACTGTACACGACTTTAACTCGACAATTCACGACTCCTTAATGACCCCTTCACGACTCTTAACCCGACCACTAATTGAATACATATTCAGTTATTCCATCAATTCTCGATCTCTACAAGATCTTTACTCTACTAACTGAACTAAATAAACAGTGCTCGATCTCAGTCCGATCTCGACCTGATCATATAGGGTTCAATTGGATAGCCGGGAATTGGTCGGGTATGTACATTTTCATTATAAAAACGTCTGATTGTTTTATACACCACCGCAGCGGAGGTGGCATTTAGTGTTACTTTTGTCCATCCGAAGGTACGTTCTTCTGATAAAATAGTTTCCGTTCTCTAACTTTGGTTTGCCTCAACCAAATGTTATGAAACTCATACAAACTGCTTATTATCATAAAACATAGATCAAATTCGAAATGATAGCGTTATTTTGAGTTGTGGGCCTTTATTACGTTATATGCAAGCGAGGGAATTTTCAGTGTCTAATGGACACATTTTCCGTTTATATGCTTATCTTTCAGTAATTGGTAGTGGCTGATAAATAAGGCAACCACTATATGGGCAGTATGAGTGGCTGTTACCTGAGATCACCCCCAGTTTTTGGTTGGGTTCGTGTTGCTAATTAGTCTTTAGATTTCTATGTTGTGTCTTGTGTACTATTATTTGTCTGTTTGTCTTTTTATTTTTTAGCCATGGTGTTGTCAGTTTATTTTCAATCTATGAGTTTGACTGTCCCTCTGGTATCTTTCGCCCCTCTCTTACAGGAGATTAACTCAAAGGACCCAAATTGTTTTAGTCTTCCTTGGTGCGGATATGTTATGGGAGTTTTAAACCGTTTCTCACACAAAATGTTATATAACACCAATTTTAGGTAAATAGACTTGTGACTCACTGATAATTTCATCCAAATAAAATCGAGGTAACTTATTCATATTTCAGAGAAGCCTTAGAGTTTTGACTGAAATTGGTTGTCACCTTTCGCAAATGGCATTTTTTTATACAGAACTTGCGTACTCATTTCTAATGGCCAAAAACACCATTATCTTGTTCATTCCGAAAGTATTGGAATACGTGAGTACTCAAAAGAGGTGATGCCAGCCGACGAGATATCCGAACAGTGGCAACAGATAGCCAAGCAAAGTAGAACTTCCCACATGCACGTGGAGCACTGGATGATAAGCACGTGAAGATAAAGTACCCATAGCACTTTGGTACACTGCAGCTACAAAGGATTTCTGTCAATCACACTACTGGTCCTCGTCGACGCAGACTACACGTTCATATGGGTCAGTGTTGGTGGAAGTGCGTCCGACTTGTATTTGTTGGGTTTCGTGTAGGAAAGATTTTATTTTTCTATGATTTGTTATAAGGTCTCCTGTTTGTCTTGTCGTCGTTTTTCGTTTTTCTCCATGGCTGTGTCGGTTTGTTTTCGACCTTTGGGTTTGATTTTTCTTTGGTATCTTTTGTCTCTTTTAAAATTTGTAAAAGTATAGCTAAGTACTGTAAATTGAATAACTTTTGCGAAGTTACTCTATTGTACAGTTTGAAAAACACAAGGACAATCTATTCCTGCGGAAGCAAGTTATCAGAGTAAGGACCTGCAACCCTTTTATAGAAACTTCTAGCAGGCATGTATATTTGTGTATAGCCGAGTACAGGTCGAGTGGAAATCGGGTATTAAACGAGTTGGTCTGGGATATAAAATAATAGTTGTCCGCAATCATCGGGAATTGGTTGTGTTAATCTGGATCACAAATATAACAAGATGGCGATGATCGAGAAACGATCGGTTATTAGTCGAGGTAATGTCGAGATGATCGAATACTGATCTGTAAAATATCGACCAAACTCGATTTCTAAATGATCCTTTCTCGATCATTTCGATCGCTGCTCGACGAATCCCCGATCTCTTTTCGAGTGACAGGCTTCTCGATCCTTACTCGATTTGTTTTTACACGTCAAATATCCCTTGGTAGGTCAGATCGATGACGATCAAGATAGACCAACCCGTACATTCTTGTCGAACGAGTCAGACCAGTCTCCCGATTGCTTAATCTGTCTTGATCGGAATTGATCGAGTTGGTCTGATCGGCAGCGTGAACCTAGCTTTACTTTGTTACATATTTGTTTGTTTTTGTAGTGGATGGTATTGTAACACAAGATTTGACTGCCGTACCCCAATTTTGACATTTTTACCTATTGTGTCTGCTTGTTTTGTTCACACATCGTTGTCAATGTGTTGGAATTTTATTCTAAGTCAGGAATATGACAGTTGTTATCTATTTGTTTGATGTGTTTGAGCTTTCGATTTTTCCATTTGATTAGGGATTTTCCGTTTGAATATTCCTCGGAGTTACCTATTGTTACATCTGATTGGGACTTCTTTTAAATAAGTTTTACTTCGCGTATTGCTGGGTGTTTGTTTATTCTACATTAGCTAGAGGTAAAGGGGAGGGTTGAGATCTCACAAAACATGTTTAACAACGCCGCATTTTTGCGCCCGTCCAAAGTCAGGAGCCTCTGGCCTATGTTAGTCTTGTATGTTTTTTTTCAGTTGTATGCTTTGGATTTAAGAGTAACTGATTCACATTTTTTTTACGGGACCAGATGAAGCCCGCGGGATTTCCTCGCTGTGTTGAAAACCCATTGTGGCCTTGGACTGTTTTCCACTGTGTCGGGTTTTTGTGTCTCTTTTACACATACCCTTTTTAATTCTCAATTTTATTCCGTCGTGACTTCCGATCAACTTTAGTAGTAAGATTTTTCTCTTTTGCATCCCACAAGGGTGACTGGAGAATAAAAATATGGTTACTTACTAATCTTCTGACCGGCCTAAAACGCTTGCCAAAGTGGGGCGTCCGTTTGGTTGTGTGGGATGTACAAGTTAGCAGCCACGTCCGGTCAGAATGGGGACGTTAAATCTGATGCCTCGTGTTAAAAGAGTCCCACGCACTTTGCACGTTAAGAATCCTTGCAACATCTCTTTGAGGTGGCCTGCAGTTGCAACATTGCAAGGCAAAATTTCTGTCTCTATCCAATATACCCTCATTTTCCGGTGGCATTCAAAATTTTCCCGACCATCATCCCGGCTGACCTTTTTTACAAGACCTACCTATTGTATTTATTGTTAACTTGTTCTCGTCCTGTACATGCATGAAATATTTGCCACTGGATGTAAGCATCCAACTATCAATGAATCAATCTTTTGTGCAAAGAATCAGTATATTTTGTGATGCTAAACTATTTGAAACGTTGAAGAGCTGATGAAACCGAAAAGTACTGAAATTGCAGCAAAATGATCCGTAGAAGGAATCAGAGATTTGCTTGACATATGTTTTCCAATTATGATGATTCCAAAAAATTAAAATAGACAATTTAACTAAAAAAACAATTCCGTAAATGTATTCGGAAGCCAGTATTCAACTACTGGCTATACTTATGGTGGTACTCCTCGTGGAGTAACAACAACAACAAAAAGCCGGGGTATTGCCTCAGTACAAGTGATAACATAAACATAACCAATTTCTTAATATAAAAACAAAGGATTCGGGGTTTCCATCCTTGACACAAAATCAGTACATGCACAGGAAAAAAACACAAAAAGCAAGGGAAAAGCGCTTCTATTGCTGTTTTTTATCTAAGGGTTACAGTGTGGCGTTCGACACTAAGCAAAAAATAAACTCACCTCACAACAATTTAAAGACGGCTTCAAGCACTGGGTTGAGTGGAATTCTTCGGGCCTTGTGAAAAAAAAAATTCATGTGCATGAATATAATAAAACTTTAATACGAAATATTTCCGAAGGGTAAATCTTAAATAATTAGACTATTTACCGGGTTTCTAATAACATTAGCAACACGACGGGTGTAACATGTGGAGTATGATCTGCTCACCCTACCGGAGCACCTGAGATCGCCCCCAGATTTTGGTTGGGTTCGTGTTGTTGAGTCTTTAGTTTTCTGTGTTGTGTCTTGTGTACTATTATTTGTCTGTTTGTCTTTTTTAGCCATGACGTTGTCCGTTTATTTTCGATTCGATCTATGAGTTTGAATATCCCTCTGGGATCTTTCGCCACTCTTTTAAAGTATGTAGCATATATTTCAGTAATTAAGGTATCAGATGAAAGGTGGAGGACTTAAGCACCTTGTAAAACACACAGTTTTTAGTTTACCAGCTTGAACATTTTAAGTTAAAGATTGAACAGGCAGAGTAAATATTATTGATTAATTCCATTATTTGTTTGTTTGTTTTTTAAATCAAGTTTTGCCAAAAGACTGTGAAGATGTTTCTGATGGAAATGGTACATACAAAATAAATCCAAGTTACTGTTCCGGACCATTCAATGATTTCAGTGTATATTGTGAAGTTGGATCAGACGGTCAATACTGGACTGTACGTTAGATATTTTATGAGAGGTTTAGCTAGCTTTTTTTTAATTTTTTATATAAAGCTAGTTTTAATCCACCATTTTCTACATAAGAAAATGCATGTACCAAGTCAGGAATATGACAGTTGTTATCCATTGGTTTGATGTGTTTGAGTTTTCGATTTTGCCATTTGATAACGGACTTTCCATTTTGAAATTTCCTCGGATTTCAGTATTTTTGTGATTTTACTTTTCACACTTTGCACTTTAAATTTTTCGAATTTTATTATATAGGGGTTAATTCTTTATCGGAAAAATATACTAACGATACCAATACATTATTAACAGCAATATATATAATACTGCTTAAACAGGCAATTAATTTTACAATTTGTTTAGGTGAAGAGTTTGGATAATTTCCTTTGATTTTTTTTTTTTGTGAATAATTTTACTACATAATAATTTTTATTCCAAAAAAGTATGATATTCTCTCAAATTACAATGTAGAAATTTATCTTTAACTGCAAATTTAAAATAAAATTAAAAAATTGCATGTTGCCATTGAGTGCAAATTTACTTTGTATGATACGATGATACGTTCATTTGAGGAAAACATTCAGTGGTATATACTTCATGTTTATTCAAGATAATATTATCCAATGAATCGAATAAATGGTTTCTGGGAAATGTCAACCGAAGAGATTGTCGACAAATTTTAACATTTCTGTTTCTGGAAGTTCAACAATTGAAATTCAGTTAATTCTTTCTCTTATTAAATTATTGTTTAAACCTGTTTGTACTTTGTTAATAACGGTATGGTGGCCAGGCCTTGAAAAGTTGATAGTTTTTAAGTGTTATCAACTCCTATTTTTTTCTCTATTCATATCCATGAAACTTTACGGACCATTTCCACTCATGTTTAAGTTGTGCATCGTTATAAACTGCAAAAAATATAAAAGACGCCACCAATTGTGTACCAATTTCTGTTACAGTCTTTGAATCTTCACATAATGATTGCACATTATCTAATTATTGTGCACCTGCTTATAAGGAATTGTTTAGGAATATTAACCTATTTTGTCGAGCCTGCGAATCATGCGCGTCGGCATTGGCGGGGGCAACAGTTAGGTTCAGCCTGTGGTTAAATATTTTTAGACATCAATAACGTTTTCAAATCTTAATGGAATTTTATGCAATTTCGACTTGTTTATGACTAAAATGCAGTAGTAAGAGCTATTTTCCATCTTCATGACCAAAATCCAGAATTTAGAATACAAGGTTGAATATATTTATATATATTTTTCCGTATAAGACGTATGTTTTCTTTGCACTTCAGTGTTTCCGTTGTGTTGTTACTAACTAAGACTGAGGGAAACACATCAACTATAAGAGGAAAACAACGAAACAACAGAAACAATGAAGTGCAACAAAAACAAACGACAATGCTACATACATAGAAAACCAAATATTAGATAACAACTGCCATTTTCCTCACTTGGTACAGGACTTTTTAAGAAAAAATGGTGGGTTGAACCTGGTTTTGTGACTTGCCAAACCTTCGCTTTTATGGCAATGTTAGATATACCGCTAAAATGACAAAATTACATGACAGGAATACAGTACAAAAAAATAACACTGACAGCAGTAATCGTAAGCGTGACACAGGGTTCCGCGGAACCCCTTACGAGTTATACCAGACAACGTAACGTACTTCTAATTTACTTTTTTTAAATTTACAAAATTAATGTGGAAGGTGTGGACCATTATCGAGTTGTTTAAGGATTTGTCGTCCCGTTTCACATTTGAAAATAATTTTAAATTTTTAGTTTAAATCATTCTCAATATTTTAAGATCATTTAAACAAACTGGCCATTTGAGTCTTTGATCAATTTATATATATTGTTGTTTTATAAAATATAGTCGATAAGAAATAAGGACATGTAGTACGATAGCAATGAGACATAAACCAGAGACCAGAAACCGGACAACAGACTCCTGGCTTTTGACAGACACATCGATTATGTACTGGAGTAAACATTATTGTGAGCTATAAGCCTAAACCATTATTGGTTGAGTAACAATACAACGTTGGAACAAACTGTTGAAGATGAGCATTTTTAATTTCTAATGAAAAAGTATTGGCCAGAATTAGTATTGAAAATAAGGGTAATTTATGTAAGAGCAACCATGGTTTCAACATAGCAAAGAAGTAATCATGACTAATCCAACGGTGTGGATTGATGTCGATATATGGTTAAGGACGTCTGTTCTTTGATCAACCTCGCAAGTCGTTTTTATACGCCACGTGATTCCGTTGATAATGCAAAACTTGTAAACGTAAGCATTGATTGTCTTTCCCACATTTAAGTTAAACAACTGAATTATAGTACAAACATTTAATACTGAACAACCATCGATTTTGACATAAAATTGTTATAGGATCGGAAATCCGTTTACTACACTGTGTATGTTTGTAAAAATGAAAACTACTTAATATATAACTTTTAAAATGTAATAAATCATGTTGTTCTATAAAATAAAACAAATAAATAATGACTTCAATTATATATGCATCTAACATGTAAGCCTTCTTTGACCTGATTTGATTGAACATTAAATTTGAAAGCCAAAAAATATCCTAATAAACAAAAACTTATCTTTTTCATTACTAGGGTATTATAAAACAAATCTTAATTCTTTCCTTTTCTTTTAATTGAGAAAGAGTCATATGCGAAATTTACATATTTATTCTCTTTGCGAATACTTCTAGCAAATTTAACGATTGATTGATTGGTTGGATACCTTCCAGTGGCAAATTAATAAGCAATACATACAATAGTTATGTCCTGTAAAAGTATGTAATGTAGGTCGTAAAGTTTAGACTGCTACTGGAAAAATGCTTTCATTAGGAAGGGACAGCAATTTTGCCTTGCAACATGTCATCTACAGCCTCTCAAAAAATTGTTGAAAGGGTTTTGAACGTGCATAGACTTCTTTTAAACTGAGTTTTAATGTGCGTATTATTTTGTGTTTGTTTTTTCTACATTAGCTAGAGGTATAGGGGGAGAGTTGAGATCTCAAAAACATGTTTAACCCGCCGCATTTGCTTCTGGCCCTTGTTAGTCTTGTATGATTTTTAATTTTAGTTTCTTTAATATATATCGGAGTTTAGTATGACGTCCATTATCACTGAACTAGTATACATTTTTGTTTAGAGGCCAGCTGATGCACGCCTCCGGGAGCGGGATTTTCTCCCTGCATTGAAGACCCATTAGTGGCTTTCGGCTTTTATCTGCTCTTTGGGTGGGTTGTTGTCTCTTTGACACATTCCCCATTTCCATTCTCAATTTTATAGATCCTGGCACTCTCTCAATACTACACGAAGCATCGAATTTGACGTCTCCATTCAGACCGAATGTGGCGGCATATTTAAATAATACGCACAGTGAAACAGACGTCTAAGGGTTTAACTACCAGTTAGAAAAAACCAAGAGTGGCTATTTTTATACTCCAAAGTCACCTTTCAAATGAAAGAAAAATGCGTAAAATCTGAGTAAATTGACATCTGATAAAGTCGAGACGTGGTATGAAAATTAAGAAATTATTTTTATTATTATTTATTGACTCATCAATTATTTGCCTTTTTCAATGTCAAAATATGCAGAATTAGAAAAAAAAATAAATGTCCATTTTTTTATTAGTGACTTTTCGTTTTGAGTTCAGTATTTTTGTGATTTTACTTTTTACAGGTTTTCCAAAGGCGTGTGGATGGACTCACAGATTTTTACCGGACATGGTTCGAGTACGAGAACGGATTTGGTGACTTAACAAATGAGTTTTGGTTAGGTACAACAAATTTATTATGCACCATTTAACAATTAAGTCTACACTATAAAAATAAACCATATTCTGATTGTTTAGGAATTATAATAAAATGCAAATCAGGACAGACTTAACAACCATGCAACCTAACAGGTGACAATATTTTTATTCCCAAGACGACCTGGCATTGAGTGTTTTTAAATGTTACACGTAGTTAGTAATTTCAAGTTTATAGGCAGCCATATCAACTTAACCGCTTTGTCTCTTGTCGACCTATCTTCACACTTTATTGTTATAAATATGTGTCAAACAAGATTAGAATCCATTTGTAATGTTTCTTTTTTACCCGACCATGGATTACACAGGCGTGCAAAGCGTGTACTACATGTACTAGCTATGTATAATTAGTTAACAAAGTACCAGGCTTATACAATTAATTTAATACGCCAGACGCGCGTATCGTCGACACAACAGTGACGCCCAGATTATATAAGTAACACAAATATAACTTTGATGATTTGCGGACGTCTTTCCTGGTAGCCTAATTGTCATGTTTTATTGAGGTCCACCACAAGCAATGACAACTAAAAACCTGTAAAAATTTTGAACTTCTTTTTTTTCTTACCTTTACCGCGTATACTTTGAAACATTTTGTATTTTAGGTAATGAGAAAATTCACATGCTGACTTCAAATAATAATTATACCTTACGAATCGAATTGGAAAATTTTTCAAATGAAAACAGATATGCGGAATATCAATCGTTCAAGATATCGGATGCTCAGTCTGAATACCAATTGTCAATAAATGGTTACAGTGGTAACGCAGGTTCGTATCGAGAAAGTTTAGTAGCAAAACTAGATAAAGGCAACAGAAGTATACCGCTGTTCAAAAATCATAAATGGATTGAGACAAAAACAAATCCGGGTTACAAACTAAAACCGAGGGAAGCACATCAACTATAAGAGGAAAACAACGAAAAAACAGAAACACTGAAGTGAAAAAAAAAAAAAATGCAACACACACAGAAACGAACTATAAGATGACAACTGTCATTTTCCTGACTTGGTACAGGACATTTTAAGAAAAAAATGGTGGGTTGAACCTGGTTTTGTGGCTGGCCAAACCTCGCACTTTTTTATTAGCTTATTGAATGATACGATTTTCATTAAAAGAAATTTAATAATTCATTATTTATTTGGTTTACATTTTCATCAGACACTAAAGTACAATGTTACAGAGACATCTACATTAATGTTTGTACACCTTTATTCGATAATAATATGAAGATAGATAACCTATTAAGGTTTTCGTGAAACGGTTTGTGAAATGTGCTAATGAAAAGTAAGAAGAATGGTTAAAATAAATATCATACTTAGATCGAACTTATACACGTACTAAATATCAATATATGTGCAAATATTCATACCTCTTTTTTTCCTCCATTACTGAAGTGAAATGATTTTCAGAATAAAACTGCTTTCTCATGCTTTCCCATTGTAAAGGAAATAGACAAAGACTAAACGAAGAAAAAAGTGCTCGAATTTGGATATTGTATTTGTATCATGTCAGTTTTTCGTAATATTATACGATTGTGATGCGACTTGATTATAAATGAAAAATTATCTCCAGTTAACAATATCTGAAGACGTTTTGACAGTTGTGTGTGTATCTCTTCACTGTTTTTGTCATGTGAAAAACATGAAAGTAAAGGCGGTCTCTTTAGATTCATAACAATTTGAAGAAAGTAGGGTCACCTCGACTTCTATCGTCCTGTTTTAAATAATGTTGAAAAGCCTCCGTTTTATGAGTTGTAAGTTATCATTGTAAATATTACTCTCATGAAAGACATATCCTCAAATTTCTTTTTCGATTTAATTACATAATTTAGTAAAGATGCATAGAAAGTGCATTTGTGTACAGCCTAATAACACTGATATTAAGATGTCATTTCCCTCAAACTTTTGACTGACCTTATCACAAACGTAAACATGTACTTTAACCATGACCGAGGGGACGGGGCCTAATAATCTATTTCACAATTAGATTTGCAAATGATTAAAAGCTGCATACTAAACATCACAAACTTTATCCAATTAGCTGACGCCGGAAACAGCACACCAAAGTCTCTCTTTTAACAAAAACCATATGTTAGATAATTACTTCTTACGAATCCAACAAATGCAATATAAATTCGAGCGTTGTCCGTATTCTATAAAGAAATGTAAAGAGGAGCTTGTTTACACAATTTCAATTGGAATTGTCTACTCTATATAAAATATCAACACTAGTCCCTGTTTTATCCATCTCATAATAAAACCAGATTGGAACCACGATTTAAATATTCATAGTTGATCAATAGTCGATTTATATTCAGGTGATAGTTTTGACCACCACAACGGCATGTTATTTAGTACCAAAGACCGAGACAACAGTCCTTCCTCCAGGGCGTGTGCAGTTAGATTCCATGGCGCATGGTGGTATAACTCTTGTCATCAGTCTAATTTAAATGGTAACTATTTATCTGGTTCTCATATCTCCTTTGCCGATGGAATTGAATGGATTACATGGACAGGATATTACTATTCATTAAAATCGTCGAAAATGATGATAAGAAGACAAAATGGCAATTAATGGTAGACATTTAAATCTTTTGCAAAAATGGAATCAATTAACATTGAAAAAAATAATATCTAAACGAATTTTCCGGCTGCTGAATTGCAAAAAATAAAACAACATATTATAGCCTAATAAAATTATGTTTATGCTATTGGCAATTGGACAGGAATATATACCTGGACACTTATAACATATCTTTTAACATCACCGTAATGTCATTCAAATATAAAATTCATCTTTGAGAACATATATGACTGTTTACTTATAGTTTTGACAAATTTAGACTTATTCAAGGTAACCAGAAAAGTTATTTTATCCACACATACATCATTGTATTAGAAATAGTGTAACAACAAATAATTTAGTTTATCACCTGTGCAAATATCGAAATACAAGTGTGAAGATCAAAAATGAGGTTTTTTGTCGTTCTGCATTAAAAGAAATATAAAGGTGTTTTTTAAGCCTGTTAGTTATTGTACATACAGTAGCAAATACTTCATGCCTTAAAAGTTTAGCGCCTTTAAAATATGTCAGACATTAACTTTTAGATATATATGATTTTATATTTATACTTTTACCAATTGAAAAATCAATTGATGCTTTTATACGTGTGGAACATTTCATAATTTTGAAATTCATGTGCATTTGAATTGAGACATTAAAATTTACAACAGCAAACTTAGTATTCAAACTTGCGTCGTTCTTTATTGATTGATTGATTGATAGGTGATTGTTGGTGATTGTTTTATGTCTTTTATGGCGCATTAGGACATTAGGACAAAAACACGATAAAGGCTATATCGCATCGAGAGCTATTTCGAATATTTTAAGTATTGGGCAATATGTCTTTCAATTTACTAAAACTTTACTTTATTCAAACATGACAGTGATATCGAAAGGAATAACAACCATTATTTTGGATTTATTTAATTTAAAACATGCAAAGCTCTATACTTAAGGCATACTATTTGTCTAATTATTGTCCCAGTGGTAACAAATGTACTATATCTGATACCTAGGTTGAAAGGAAATATTTTAACGAGTCTGGTAAAATAAAGCACCCCTGTTTATAATACCATGTTAATCAAAACCAATCTGTATCATATACAACTTCTACCATTAGAAAGATATCGATTCGTGTAAAAATACAGAAAAAAACGGACGAGATTGGGGAAAACTTGCATCATGAAAACAGTTTTACATAATCTCATATTTTTTTTTGGGGGGGGGGGGGGGGGGGGTGTCTCTGTTCGTTTTAAACTAAACTAAGGGTCAATGTGCATAAAGAAGGTCTCGAGTTAATACAGCTACTATTGAAAAAAAGATCAGGTTTCGCATGGTTTCAAAAAATGTCCACATTTGCCAATGTGGGACTAGGTATAAATTGATTCAAGACACATATTTGCATTGAAGTCAATGGCAGATTTATATCTAATTTACACATATAGTAGTCTTAGAACATATATACTGTTGAAATGTGCCAAGTTTATCGAACTTTATGAAAAATAATGAACTCTCAAACTTCCATAATAACATTTCGCGTTTATTGTATATTTTGGCGTACCATCAAGGATAGATAAAAGGAAGATCACGTCAAAATGGTTTAATCCTACCTCATATTATGCCAGTCTCGGGTCATCTATCCGCACAATCTTGTAGTTTTTGATTGTTGTTAGTTCGTGTTATCTATTGTATTTTTGTGCAATATTATTTGTAATTTATGTAATCCTTTGCAAGTATTATCAATAAAATAAGAAAGGCAAAAAAACCAAAGGGATATTCAAACTCATAATTCAATATACTAAAGTAATAATTGGTCTTAAGGTGGTACCTAACACTACAGGGAGATAACTCTGTAAAAATCAGCTAAACGTTTTAATCACGTTGTATTGTTAACAGGTCACTGGATTGTTATCTGCCTACGAGACAAGGTTACATACAAAACAAGATTAACCAGTCAACATAAGAAGACTTGGGCTACGTGTATATCGTCTTTAATTTTTTATGACTGATGTCATCAATCTGTATAACAACTCAACGTAAGAACAAACAAAATGACAACATCGAGTACAATTTAAACACAAACCATATGAATGTGTTAAAACTAGTTGTTTCACCTACAACTTCAATCGGATGCATTGTACCATTCAGATTACTTCAGTACTTCTAACTGGTACTTTCCATTTAGTATTGTTTTATTGAATGGTCCAAAATCCCAATAGTTGACTTGATGTTTTTTCAATATAATCCTTTCTGTATCAAGAATTGATCCGATAAATAGTATTGATTCATGATTAATTGTTGGTTGCTCAACGTCCAGTGGCAAATATTCAATGCATGTTCAGGACGAACACAAATTACAAAAGGTAGGTCCTGTAATAGACAGATGAAGGTCGGAGAAAAAATAGACTGCCATAGTATATTGGATAAGGACAGAACTTTTGTCTTGCAACAGGCCCTCAAGGATTTGTTGCATGGGTTTTTAACGTGCAAAAAAATGTGGTTCTCTCTTTACACGAGTCATTGAATTTAATGTCCTCATTCTGACCTGACGTTGCTTCATACTTGTACATCCCGCACAGTCAAACAAACGCCCAACTTTGGCAAGGGTTTTATTGCCGGTCTGTGGAAGACCTGTTATGACCATGTATACTTATTACCCCGTCGCCCTTGTGCGGAGGTAGTATTGAAAAGAAGCGATATGGCGTATAAGGTCACGACACAAAATTAATGCACTCGACAAAACCGAAGTCAATACTATTTATCTCATAATATATAGGCCTAAACAAGAGAGCAAAAGGTCAATTTCCACTGCAAGTCCAAGAAGGTTTTTAAAATTGGTCTGAGCATGATTCTAAGATGCATGTCAAACATGATACATCTGAATGTTGAAGACCCCAGATGTGTGCGAATATTCACAAATTACAAACAGTTATGGCAAAGTTATATTTGAAAGGCTGTCATTATTTGACCTACAATCTCATTATTATAGTAATGAAACTAATGAAGCATTAGACAAATCCTTGTATGTAAAATCTCAGTAAAACAAGCTAGGGGAGCGTATGTCAAGTATCTAGAATAGATCGGATAGGTCAAAACCAATGGTCACTAAAGCTTGACATTTGGTATGAATAAAAGCAACAGTAGTTTACCGCTTTCCAAAAGTCATAAATCGATTGAGAGAAAACAAAGCCGTGTTACAAAGTAAAACCGAGGGAAACACATCAAGTATAAGAGGAAATCAACGAAACAACAGAACACTGAATTGCAACAAAAAACAAACGACAATACAACATACATAGAAACGAACGATAAGATAACAACTGCAATATTCCTGACTTGGTACAGGACATTTTAAGAAAAAAATGGTCGGTTGAACCTTGTTTTGTTGCTAGCCAAACCTCGCGCTTATGGCAATGTTAAATATACCGCTAAAATGACAACATTACATGACGGGAATACAGTACAAATAAATGCAAGAACACCAAAGACAGAGATATACATAAATAAATAATATAAAAGTACATTTCGACATGTTAACCACAGAATAACAACGAATAGTACACAAAAACAGCTTAATAGAACAACGAACTGTCACATGAATGTATCAACTCAAAAAAAAAAAGTAACGTCACAGGTAAATTTCTAAAAATTGGATATAAATCAATAATTATGTTATTTGATGTAACTACCTTTTTCTGGTATTATCCTACTCAAGAGCAAAACATTTGTAGTTCATTGCTATCTCATATCCAATGTATAGAAATAAACATGTACAAAATAACTAACAAGAGTCACAGATGCACAGAGAAAAGGACATTCATTGGGAATGACGGAGAGTGTTCTATTTATAAGTGAAAAAAACCAGTGAAAAGTAGAATCATAAAAATACTGAACTCCGAGGAAAATTCAAAATGGAAAGTCCCTAATCAAATGGCAAAATCAAAAGCTCAAACACATCAAACAAATGGATAACAATTGTCAGATTCCTGACTTGGTACAAGCATTTTCTTATGTAGAAAATGATGGATTAAACTTGGTTTTATAGCTAGCTAAACCTCACACTTGTATGACAGTCGCATAAAATTCCATTATATTGACAACGATGTCTGAACAAAACAAACAGGCACAATAGGTCTGTACAGAATCATAAATATGAAAGTTATTTGCCATTCGTTTGATAAGTTTGAGCTTGTGATGATGTTCTTTTAATTTTGAATATTTTTTGGAGTTTGGTATTTTTATTAATACAATTTTTATCCTAACTGTGTCATATACTAATCCATCGTCAACCTTAAACAATAACATGAAAGCAAATACTGAAGTTAGTTAACCGCTTATTTGTACGTTGACAATGGTATTTCTTGCCATATTCCCCTTAATTTTTTAGAATTTTTGGTCCACAATGCTCTTTAACTTTGTACTTGTTTGGCTTTCTAACTTTTTTGATCTGAGCGTCACTGATGAGTCTTATGTAGACGAAACGCGCGTCTGGCGTATCAAATTATAAGCTTTGTACCTTTGATAACTATTTACCGTCTAGCAAAACATATGGCCCTCACCAAGAATGTATGTGTTATAACTTTTAATCAGATGGATAAAACAATAAGATCAATCTTTATTTGGCCATATCATAAAATGAAAGAATTGTTTCAAAAACGCAGATTGTAAAGTTACATTTTTCATTTACAGTTCCAGGCTATGTTCTATGGGGCTGAAAAGAATAAAACATAGAATTTCATAATGATAACAGAAACCTCGAATTTTAATCAAGCAGATAAATACTGGTTTATTTTTTCTTCTTCGTTATAAGTGTTTTCCGTGAACTGAGAGACTATAAAAAGGACTCTTTGATATTGTATAGCAGCATTTAAAATTTTGGAAACCTAAAAATAAAATAATTTAAAACAAATTTTGAATTATCGCTCCGTTTTAATAAATGTCATCACTTGCCTTAAAATTCACAGATAATTGCTATTTGTTTATCACATTGAAATTTAATTGGTGACAAACAATGTTCTCGCTCCTGGATATAGAAGTTTTATAAAACAAAATTAAAGAAAAATGACTTCTCACCAAATTTTAAGTGTCTATTATTAAATATTTTTTAAGGAGGAATAAAATTTGAAAAATTTGCTCACTCGCTCCAATTTCTGTAAATAAAGGATCGACGAACATGTATTCAATTTGAAGTGGTCTAAAACAAATTTACTGGATTAAAAATGAGCAAATGCCCTGAGTCATCTCGTTTTGTTTTTAAACCCGACTGATACAATTATTGAGTACAGTATTCATAATAATAATGAAAGAATAATTTATGTTTAATTTCATGTATTTTCAAAGTATTAATTAACAGTTGAACCGCAGTTCTATTTTACCTATTTAGTTGAAACAAGATGAATAATACCAATTCACTTTACATCTTCAATTTGTTTAAATAATTTGAAAATGGGATACCTACTAAAATATAACGGGATAAATCATGTACAGCTCTATGTACGGACGGTCCATGACGTGTCATTGTGATGTATAAGTATCTGGTAAAACTGTAGATTCTAAATGAAAACGAACATTGTAAAACTTCCTTTCTTTCCTTTCTTAGCACTAGCTACGAGATATTCAAAAAATCTAAAGTATGACTTTTTTTTCGTTCAATCATTAATGAAAATGAAAAAGTGAAAAAATAATTTGCTTTAAGCAACAAGTATGGTCAATTTTGTCCAATTAAGCTAAGAAACATTGATGATGAATTAAAACAGTTGACTTCTTGCTTAATAGTTCACTATAATATAGTGAACTTCGGAGTGGACATATTGTGTTTCGTAAAGATAAATTAATAATGACCATGCAAAAATGATCTAATATAATTTTAACCTGTGAATAAAAACCTTTTTATTTCATTAATCACGTAACAATGATTACCAAATTATTACCCAAGTCAAAATTTCGTTTTTAGACACTCTTTGATTTATGACACCTTGAAAGGTTATGCTTTACGCAATTATAGTCCAACGTTCATCGTATCAATTACCTGGACCATACGTGTATGGTCGGGCCATTTGAGTATTTATGCATATGTTCATGACGCGAGTTAACTCAGCTGCATCAAAACAACTATGGAAACATAACCCACGCAGAGTGAGTTCATTACGCATTCATAATACAGATCCGTAGAGTACTCCCAATAGTTTTACATTAATGGATATAAAAAGAATACATGTAAAACAAATGTGACTTTGAAATCTCAGAGTTTCAGAATAATAATTGTATGTAAAAAAATAAATAGGCAAACGTTAGACGACGATAAAATCGAAGAACTGCTGCAAAACAAAGAATCATTGAACACTAAATCAAATAGTGCAGTAACTGTTGCAGTTGAATGCTTTTGACAGTTTATTGAGGAGAGTGGGAGAGAAATTTACAAGTTTTGGGAATATGAGCTTCAGAACTCGACGCTTCACTGAGAAGTTTCTATGCCGGTGGTCGTTGAACTCATGGTAGTTTGTACAAGAAATCTGCAATTCAGAATATTAATAATGGTTTAAAAACTACCTTCTTGTTAAAAGACACATTGAAATAAAAAAGGACAATGTATTCATTCAGAGGAATTTATTATTCAAAGCAGTAAAGGTAAATTTAAAACGCTATGCAAAAGTTGACCATGAACCTGCTATTTACGAGGAGGATTTGCAGAAACTTTATGGTGATGATACTTCAGTTTGCGAAGTTTGTTCTATATGTTCTTCAGTTCAAAGTTTGGTTCGAGTGAATAATGTTCCTGTGTAACAATGGCCAAAGACACATTACGTGTAAAAAGATGCAAGTAGTCTCGATAATTATATTTATCAAAACTAGGATAAGTTAGATAAAAGTCATAGGGCCAACCCTGATCCATCTCAGTTACTGAAAGAAGGATGTATGAGAAGAAAGGTAATGTTCGATCTTAATAATTCTTCGTTTGTTTTTTTTTAGTATTTAATACTCATTCTCTGTAACCACTTAAACTTTTTCGGCACACATAGTCACCGATCTTTCTGAAAATTGGCTGATATGTTGATCCTATTAGACTAGTCAGAAAAATAATGTCAACCGATATATATATATTGGTTGGTTACCATGGTAACAGCAGAGAAAGTTGGGATTTTTGAGAAAAATACAATATTTGGTGTAGTGTTGTGAAATCATGCGGCTACATCTATTAAAAAGAAACACAAAAACAATTAATTTCATTCTTGATTTAGTCAAAATTCAAAAAAAGTTATGGGGAATCTACCTAGAAACATGCGAAATTAATTTCTAAAAAATGATCATTGTGCAATTTTCCTCACAATACGAATTATCTCCCTTTGATGTGTTACATTAATGACTGGACCAAAACGAAAACGCTAATAACTTTTTTTATTTCTCAAAGGATTTATGTCAAATTTGAATTGTTATAAATTTAGACCATTCAATACATAAATATAAGAAAAAAATATAGAAAACTTTTTTAAATCTTCATTAAACGTGACCTGGCCAACGTTGACAATGCCAGGACCAAATGAAAATGCTAATAACTTTTTTATTTCTTAAAGGGTTTATGTTAAATTTGAAAAATAATAAAGTTTAATCATTTAATATATAAATTAATAAAAAAATATAGAAAAAAATATAAAATATTCAGATAACGTGACCTTTCTAACGTTGACAATAACCTGACCAACAATAGCAATGACCTGACCGATGAAAATTTCTGTGTTATTTTATATTATTAAAAAAAAACAGGAAAAATATATGTTTTTGGTACAAAAAACTTGACCTGACCAACGTTGACTGTGTCCTGGTCGTTGTACTACCTAATACTTATTTATATCTTATTGGATTTTCTTTAAATTTATAAAAAAAAATAGAATTAGGATTGAATGGTAAAAAACTGGGAAAAACAGTTTAGGGTACTATGACGAGCACCGAATTATTTAAACTTTTTATGGTATTGAGTAGTATATTGTATTTAACTGTGTTGTAAAAATATGTTGTATATTACCGGTTATAATTTGACACGTTAGATCACAAATATAAAGTAACTCAAAAGGTGTGTTTGAAGTAGGCCATACATACATGTAAGTTAATAAATCCAATATAGTTTGTTTTTTAATATTTTCTAACAGTAAATAGTTATTTTCACGTACTACTTAAGGCATGCGCGAGCCTTGTGCAGGATATCTTGGCAGTTTTTAATATTTTCATAAAAACAAATACACATTTCGCAGACTACTTGAGGTATGCCCGAGCCCCTGCATGCACGATATCTTTGTAGTTTAAAATATTTTCATAAAATATAAGTAAACATATTCGCGGACTTAACTTGAGGGTTACCAGAGCCTTGTCTTGTTTTAAATGTTCCCGAAAGTTTTAAAGCATTTTATATTTTCTTATTTGATAAAATTAATGGTTCAGTCTAAGTGTTTCTATAAATTTGATGCATAGCCTTTTACATTTAGATAGGTATAAAGTCATTTTTCCTGGTCATGATAACGGTAGGAATGTAGGACAGAAAGTCACAGACAAAAAGTCACAGACAAAAAGTCCAGACAAAAAGTCGCAGACAAAAAGTCACATGTATAATATGTTATAAACATAGACTTCTGCTTCAAAGTAAAATCTATTTTTTTTTTGTTTAAAGAAAGACAATTATATACTAATTTTGAGAAACATCTTTCTGTAATGGGCTTTCAGTGGACATCAAAGTATATGTACATGCATATAATTCTTTTAAAGTTATCCTGTGTAAAGAGTTATCATATTGATAAATATTTTTTAATTTGCTGCTAAAAATCTATTAAGATTACTGTTATTTTCTCAAATTTCAATAATCCAATGCCTTTTACTAATGTAAATATAGTGCTACCAAAGGCGGATCCAGGGGGCCATGAGGGCCCGCCCCCTCCTTTCATTGGAAACATTTGGTTGATTACATATGGAATCACTGAAGCATGAATGTAGCGGGCATCTCTTAAGGCAGTCAGTGGTACCCTTGATATGACAATTGTCTAGATGATATATTTTCCACCTGCTGCTCGTTGTAAGACCAGCAGTTATCCGCTGACCGATTTTTCGTGGGTCCTCTAAGGGAAACGGAACTTTTTGGAAAATCTCGAAAAATTCCTCCCCGGCCAGAATGTCAGACAAGAAATGTGTCGGATGAATAGCAGGGACCATCGGGTCAACGGCCGACCGTACCCGCCCTTGCTTGTTACGCCCTTTTTTTAGGGGCTCCCTAGTTGATCTATTGAAATTTCTGTCCTTGTCCAATTGATCCCGATTTCTAGTGATATTTCAAGGACCTTTTTGATTTTTTGATTTTTTATAACTTTTATAAAAATGATCTTCATCTAGTGCTCATCATCCAATAAAACAATATTATTCAAAACGTATAGCTACATGTATACATGCTTTGCCATTTCAACATTGAGTTTAAGAATGAATAAGAAAAATAAACAGCTCATAATAAAGGTATTTTTTTCTTTATAGAAATGTTAGATGGTCAATTATCATTTATTTAGAGGATCAACGTCTGACTCTTTTGGTTCTATTTTTTATTGTGTTGAATTGTTTAAAATTATTGACTTCAATTAATTTTTGGTCATTAGACTAGCACAGGACCTACAATGTTCCTATTAAATTTATTGGTTTTGTTCTCTTCTGAAATATGCATGAGATGTTTGACACTGGACATAAAGCAAACCACAACTAAT